AGTGGCCAAACCAAAATGGGCCAGGAGGAGTTGACTTGGAGTTGAGCAGAGCCACGCCGTAGCAGAGCCCGCTGTCCCGCGCTAGCTAGCCGCTAGTAGCTGCAGTCCCAACAACACACACGCACAGGCAGGCGGTCACTGCCACTGCTCGCTGTTTACGCAGGGGCGCCGGGCCGAGGGCGTGGCCATGGAAGAAGAAAAAGCCCAGTAGACATGGGCACCTTTTGGTCATATTCTCACGTACACGTACGGGGGCAGAGAGGCAGGCAGCTGCTGCCCCCACCGCAAGAAGCAAACAAACAACAATCGCTGGCTCTTGCTCGGCTTTAAACTTCCCTTTACCGTACGTCTCCCTGCGCAGTGGCGCCGGGGAGACGGGGGACACGGCCGGGCGCCCGGCCGCGCTTGGGAGAGAGGGAGAACGCTGGGAGAGTGGAAAAAGGAGCCGAGATGAAAGGAGCTCATCATGACCCATGGCCCATGCCTCCTGCGGTAGTCCTGCCCCGTCGTCGCACGGCTCCTGCCACTCTCTGGCCCCGTCAGTCCCATCTATACCTTCCTGACACGGCTAAAAATCCTGTAGAAGCTCGGACATATCCCCTCCGTCCAAAAAAAAAAAAGACAAACCTGATTTCTGTATTAATCATGTTTTATTATCTAACAACAATAAAAATAATAATTATAAAAAAATTTCATATAAAACGGACAGTCAAACGTTGGCACAGAAACCAGGATTTGCCTTTTTTTAGGACGGAGGGAGTAGAGTATGGAGCACGCTCGCTCGGTTGCATTGTTGCGCCTTAATTCAGCCGTGCAAAGCTACTTGACCGGTTAAGGGGTATTTAGATTCAGGGATTCAGGGATATATCGGATATTATATAGTTATTGTATAGGTTGTTTGAGCACTATAAAAAAATTAATTATAGAATCCATCAGTAAACCGCGAGATAAATTTATTAAGCCTAAATAATCTATCATTAGCATATGTTACTGTAGCACCACATTATTAAATCATAGAGCAATTAGGCTTAAAAGATTCGTCTCGCAAATTAGTCGCAATCTATATAATTAGTTATTTTTTAAATATGTATTTAATACTTTATGCATGTGTTTAAACGGGGAAATTTTTACGTGGGAACTGAACATTCATGATACACCATGTGGCAGTAACATAAAAAAGTCTATTGCTAGCTTAGGAGTAGCTAAATGAGTGTAGAACAGTAGAAGGTGGTTGATGCGGTGAAGGGAGGGAGGGACATTAGACTAGTGCACACGCGGCCACGCAGGAGAGGCCAGCGTCGACGCGGTCACGAGAGCGAGGGGATGCATGATGGCCGGCGACTTGGCGGTTAGGTGATGATGCACGCATGGGCGGGGAACAGAAGAATGGCAGTCTGCAACTCTAGCTCGTAGCAGTAGCTCGCTGAGGCGTGGAGCAGCCACCTGCCGATCCTGCGCGCATGTGGCCGGCCGGCTTGTCTGTCCGCGCGGTGCACGGGCATCGTTGTGGGAGTGGGAATTCATGAACTGGGAGAATCATGCACAAGCACTGCGGGTGGCCGCATGCGTGCAGCCGAGAGGATCCAAAGGGTGCCGTACATGGAGCGGACCATCATCACCCACCCAACGTGCCGTGTTGACCTTTAATTTTGTTGGAGCAGGGCTTAAGTACTGTTAGACCATGCCCTACGCGTGATCTTAAAACTGTGGTTCTAGCCTCCAACTAAGCTCATATGGCATGGTGAAGGTTCGGGAAGAGTTTTATTTGTGTCACAGTACTATGTAGATGCCGCAGTGATTTAGGAAAGAAAAAGAAGTGATCCAAGCCCGGATCGAGATCCATCCAAAGAAACCCTTTCTCTGTCGGGAGGACCCCACTACCACGGAGCTTGCTGACCACGCCGGAGTAGGGGGAGGAGAGTGGGGACGCCACTAATGATATATCCACGCTAAGCTCGCCACCAGATCCGTGCTTGTTGCCAGGATTTCGTTGATCACATCGTCGTCGAGGGCTCGCCCTCCCGACGGCTTACGTGGTCTCCCAACAAGGAGGGGATGTCGTCCGCCTTGATATGCCACGCATAATCATCATTGTGCTTTCTGGAGAGGAGGGGAGGCCCGCCGCCTCGATCAATCGATGGGGTTGAAAGGCTCACGAGCACCACGACCGAAGAAGGGGAAACGAGAGTCGAGAGAGTAGCAGATGGGGAGTGGGAGAGAGGCGGGTGGTGCTTAGACGAGGAAGAGAGGTGGCGTTGCGGCTGCGGTGCTTAGACGAGGAAGAGAAGCGACGATGCATTTGGTTGGGAGGGGGGAGAGAAAGGCGAATCAATGAGAAAGAAGGAAGGGTGGTGAAAAAAAATTATAAGAGTGACTGGCATGTGGGTCTATATTTGTTAATGGTACACATGTATTTATCTTATAGTTGTTATACGGTACAAAATATAACAGTTTCAGTGGGATTTGATAACAATTAGTATTTCAATAATTGACATAAGGGTTGAAACACAAAATAGTTGGATGTGACCTCAATTGTGAGAGTTGTAACCTATGTGAGGTATCAGTCCATATAACCTACTCACTATGTCCCATAAAAAACTAACCTAGTATCGAATGTGACGTATGTATGTCCAGATTCATAGTATTAGCATATGTCACATCCGATACTGGATTGGTTTTTTATGGGATGGAGGGAAAATCTAAGAACACTTTTACATGGGGTCTCCATTATACGTGGCTTTAGGACAAGGCCAATGTTTATGACTCGATGAGCGATAGGGGTGTGACCCGCTAAAAGGAGCCACAACTATAGCGATCCGTACAATGCTATGTCTATCAGTCTATGTAAAAAAAAGGTGAGCCTTATTCAGTTGCGGATCTAGGAAGAAATAGCAAGCGGTTTGAATAAACTAGACAAAACTACAATCTCCTCCCCCATGTATAGATAGCAAAAAAAAAAAAGTCGGGACTTTCATGTACCTCGCGTCAGTAGTGGATGCTTGAGACTCTACCGTCTCCATGCTAGATTCGCTCTTAGGGCTACTTTGGATTGATGCCAAAATGTGCCATGCCAATTTTTTTGGTAGTTTGAATAGTAAATATGATGGTTTGGTTTGAAGCCAAATGAATGGTACTGCCCATGCTTAATTTGGTATAATTCTAGAATTTTCTTCACCATAATATAAATTTTGGCTTCCAATTGGTATTAATCCAAACACATTACTTAGAATTCTACCCTACCAAATTATTGGTAGTGTCAAAACATGCTTAAGTTTTAGCACTACCAATGTTTTTGTATGGCCTTAAACCAAACAAGCTAGCCCTTAGCCCCATTGGTTCCCCAAATGAAAGAAAATTTCAATTGTCCCACGTAGCAGACTAGCGGGATTTGAAACCAAAGAGGATTGAAGATTAAATCGGTGCACGTAAAACTAAAATGTCATTAGCGAATAATTAATTAAGTTTTAATTATTACAAAATTAATAAATGAATATACTTGACATTTTAAAATAACTTTTATATAAAAATTTTTTCGCACGAAATATACCGTTTAGTAGTTTATGTTTTATTAGTATGATTTTTTTTGTGTTCATACTTTATAAGTTTAAGGTGTATTTTGATTTGGTAATGATTATGATATCAAATGTTTAATGCTACTACTTTTACAAAAACATTGTGGATACCATACACGATGACTTACCGATCCGAAGCTACAGAACATGACCCAACCACCCACCCACCCGGCGATGCACGCTGTCTTGCCGCCTCCTGCCGTTATGCGCGTAAAACATCGGTGATGCGCGTAGGGACAGCCAGAACAGGTAATTAATGTGAGTGGTTTTGTGGATCATATAGTCCGATACTCCGATGGGTTGTGCCGGGCGGGTGCTCTAGCCGCGTCCAGGCGAGCAAGGACAGTGACACGGCCCGGGACAGATGGCGTACGCAGCGTAGCCTAAGAGCATGTACAATAGCAGACTATCAGAGCACCCGCAATAGTAAAGTAAGGTGCTCTCTATAAAACATGTACATCTTAGCAATAGACTAGATTAATAGTAAACCACCTCAATAGTATGTCTACATGGGTATCTATAGCTCTCTCATCCATTGCCTCGTTTTTCTCTATAGACTATCTCCATGTTAGTAGATAGCTTTGCTCTCTCTCTTCATTTAATCTCTTCCAAGTAGGAAAATATGCTGACATGGATCTCTTGTAGAGAGCTTATAGATAACTATTGTGGGTGCCCTAAGCTGTGCGCGCGGGGGGAAGAGAGAGCGACGTCTCCGCGGCGCTGTCGGGGGGAGGACGGCCACTCGTGTCGGCGGTTTCGCGTCCACGCTGCGCCCCAACCTCACGGCCACTCGCGCCTTAAACTTGCGTAATCCACGTACTTACGCTTCGCCAGTTTTTGCCTTTCTCCTTCGCGGCTGGACGTTGGACCGGACCAGACCAGACCAAAACCAAACACGCCCCGGCAGTGCCGTCGCGGTGCCAGCTCCACCACCCGCTCACGAATGATTAGTTCGTACGTATTGCGCGCACAAACAAATGTATCACCAGTAGTAGTACAACCAAAACCATATGTAGAGTGGCACTATACGGTTTCACCGAGGACTGCTCGTCGTCACCAACACAGTATGTACCTTTCGTTTTGACTTTGCCCTGCGAGCCATGTTCGATTGCAACCGAATCTACTGTGCTGAGCCAAACCCATCCTTGCTTGCTCATGTCATCCACCTGTGGTGGTTCTGGTGTGCTCGAGCTAGAATCGGCTTCTGCAGAGCACAAGACGACCCCAGGGCCAAAGACCAGCGACCAGAATACAAACGCCAGGACACAAGAGGACAACCGGACAAGGCCACAGAAAAGAAAGGAGACGCGAAAAAAGAAAGATTAGAAAAAAGAGAAAAAAAAAACACAATAGGGAGCTTGGGCGGAAAAAAATCCGGTCGAAAATCCTCCCGGTCGGCCACTTTTAATTAACAAGTCGTCTCCTCCTCATCCATCCACCACACCACTTGCCTCCAAACAAAAATCTGACCTGACCTGACCTCCTCCTCGGCTCCTCCTCCTCACCCACAACTCTTCCCAATGTCGCCTCCCCTCGAGCCGCACGACTACATCGGCCTCTCCGCTGCGGCGGCGTCCCCGACGCCGAGCTCGTCGTCCTGCTCGTCCTCGCCGAACCCAGGCGGCGAGGCCCGCGGCCCACGCCTCACGCTCCGCCTCGGCCTCCCGGGGTCGGAGTCCCCCGAGCGGGAGGTCGTCGCCGCGGGGCTCACCCTCGGGCCTCTGCCCCCGACCACCACCAAGGCGGCCTCCAAGCGCGCCTTCCCCGACTCCTCCCCGCGGCACGGCGCCAGCTCCGGCTCCGTCGCCGCCGCCGCAGCTTGCCAGGACAAGGCGGCCCCCGCCGCCGCTCCGCCGGCTGCAAAGTAAGATTCGTGAGATTCGATGTGGGGCGGGTGTGTGTGCGTGTGCTGCCGTGCTGGTACTGATCGGCGATGGCGATGTGGAGCCCAGGGCGCAGGTGGTGGGATGGCCGCCCGTGCGGAACTACCGAAAGAACACGCTGGCGGCGAGCGCCTCCAAGGGCAAAGGGGAGGACAAGGGCACGGCTGAAGGGGGCCCTCTCTATGTCAAGGTGAGCATGGATGGAGCCCCCTACCTCAGGAAGGTCGACCTCAAGATGTATTCTAGCTATGAGGACCTCTCCATGGCTCTCGAGAAGATGTTCAGCTGCTTCATCACTGGTGAGCACCCGCCTCAAAGATTCTCTCCGATGTGTGTCTTGCTCGTAAAATACACCATTTTAGCTGGTGGGAGTGTGCGAAAGCATGCCACTGACATTTTAAGAATGGAAATCTGATCCAATGCCTGAAGTGTGCATAGGGTTGACAGATTTAGCTGTAAACTCTGAAGGGAAATTATAAACCTGTCCTTGCAAGTTACCCTGATATTCGTCATGGTACAATCTAGTACCAATCAGTTTGGCTCCTTAGCTCAATTGCTAGTCAACCTTTCCATAGCTTAATGATAATGGAACCACAGTATTTAGACAATGCCATGGTTGATGGTTCTCAGGGTTAAAGTATGAATATTTGAGATGCAAATTATTCCATACAACAGTTTGAGCTGTTCATTGCATAGTGCTCAATAGTTCTAACCTCTTTTTTGTGTTCAATAGCAACTACGTTCCCATCTGTATATGCTGGTGAGCTTTTGCTTTTGTGATGGTGCTTATACCATGCCTATGATTTTAAAGGTCAAAGCGGTTTGCGTAAATCATCAAACAGAGATAGGCTTACTAATGGTTCAAAGGCTGATGCCCTCCAAGACCAAGAGTATGTCCTTACATATGAAGATAAGGATGCTGACTGGATGCTTGTTGGTGATCTTCCTTGGGAGTAAGTTTCTGGCATTTTATATCCATTTTGCTTTTTTTTTTTTTTAAAAGCACCGCATGTTATGTTGTGTTATTGTACCATGTACATACTTTTGCTGATGTCCCTTTGTTTCACCTGTTCTACCAGTATGGGTGGCTTATGTACAAAACTTGTATTTCAATATTGTATTGTAGATCGAAGCAGGACTAGTTAGAGTTTTTTTTTTTACCATGAACAGCACTAGTTGGATCGATTTCTTAAAATGCTATGTGGCTGATCAATAAAATATTGTGATCCGTATATTTGATTAACTAACCGTTCACTGTTAGGAACACCATCTTTTCCTTTAGAATACATTGCTTTTATAGAACCAATAGTTCAGTAACATATAAATAACCTTTTATGGGTTATATTTTTTAAAATTCAGTACTGATCTTAATGCAAATGAAGGGTCTAAATTACATCTACTTATTGCATAATTTTTCAAAGAGTAAACTTCTCATTTTCTTTCCCTTGCATTAATTTATTGGGCTAGGCATATGATGTGTTAATCTGTTACCTGCCCCAATGTTCGGGCTGACCATTTTGAGACATTATTCTGTACTGAACTTCAAACCGAGCTCTGCACATTATTAGTTTTGATAGCATTGACCATAAACAAATGTAGGGGACATTGGATGAACTATGAACGTAGCTTAGATTTAATGATTTTCCCAAACTAATATCCACAACCTGAGGCCATAACAGGATAAACCCCGCCAGGAGGATACTAGGGAAGAGATGTAGATTTAGACTAGGGAAGAAGAACATTGAGGGAGAGCTTAGATTAACTTTGATTCATTATTCATTGCTTAACCCTGAATCAGGATACAATTCATCCGCATATAGATAGAGGGAAGGACCAGTCTAACATTTAATCCATGTACCTATCTAACAGTCTCTAACCAACTGAGCTACATTACGGTTATAAGTTATGGGTTGAATTACCGTATTACTGTTACAGGTGAGGTGAGGATAGGGTTACTCGACCGGTACTGGTTGTTATCCTTTGAGCCTTAGCCTCTCGGCCCAATGACACTAATCACTAATTTTGATTCAAGATTACAGACCTTCTATATTGTGCTGAGTACTAACAGCAGAAGCAAAAACTTCCTTGTTCTTAATTATACCATACAACCATGAAGATATCCCATAGATATGCCACTTCACTTAAACCGACCTTAAAATTCTATATTGTCGGTACAGAATAAATTTCCTAACATCTAGTCTATTAATTTGCTGGATTCCTTAGCCTTCATATTGCTGTAAGTTCCATACAGAGCAGGATATTAGGTACTCTTGAAAGATTTCTAACTTTAGATTGTTCATTTGCAGTTTGTTTACCACTATCTGCCGGAAATTGAAAATCATGAGAGGATCTGATGCTGCTGGAATAGGTATTTGCACTCTGCACAAATATGTAATTAGTATGGAATATGCCTGCAATTGAACTGAATGCTTCACTGGAAATTTAATTCGCAAACTAAGAAATCAGTGTTAGCTGTAATGGATGGAGCCCAAGATCTGCTTTCTAGTACCACATTATATAGCTCAGATGATGCTTTCATGTATGGATAATTTAGCTCTTGTCTGACTTAGTGAAGCATAAATCTAAGCCAATTATTGTGATGGTAGCTGGAGTCCCTCTGCAAATAACACTTTACACCACTCGCAATGAATTTGCCTGATTTTGAACAGCATGTGTGTGTACTTCATTAAGAAGTACCTTTGGCTAGCAGTTGTGCTTTTGATCTGAAATACATCCATCTGTTTGCAGCTCCAAGATCAATAGAGCAGTCAGGGCAGAGCAGATAAGATTAACCTTCGTCCGGACGAGAAAGGCAACTGATCTAGCAGCTTTGGAATTGTTCATCGCAAGTATCCCAAATATCTCAATGTCTGTGTAGTTTAATGTGTTCATCAGACCTGTGCATTGTATGTCTGTAATTTGTTCCTTTCAGATCGTGCAATTGTGCGTTGCCCCCTCTTTTCTTTGCATTGAAGGTCAAGTCGGGCTCTTGTCCGCTTATTTCTCTAAATCCTAGTCAGTTCAAAAATTATCCATCATGACACATGAACTGATGGTGGATAATATGGCAAGAAGCTTTTCTAATCATTCAAGCTTGAACCTCTTGTGTGTTCTACTACTATATTACATGAAAGAAAATGTCTAATGTCTATATGTTAATCTCCAAATTTCTCCATGCTGTAGTAACTTCTATCTACAAGTGCACCATACGGTGCAACTGATACTGAAAATAAATGCTTACCTTGTCTGTATCATGCTGAAATTTGCGGGTAACGCATGATTTGGGGTAGGCATTATACTAGGGCTTAAGAACTCAAAATGAGAACTACAGCAGCTCTATCCATTTTGTTGGTACACGCTGATTCCAATCTAGGCTAGCACCCTCGGGGCTCCAGATCGAACTAAATCACAAGAACCTGATGAATTTGCCATCACTGCTTCCATGGATTTCTGAAGAGTCCGCCGTTTCGTCTTCGATGGACGGCGACCTGTCAAGTACCGCCGTCTCGCTGTCCGATTCCGATGTCTCCGCCCGGCAGCGGGAGCAGAGCCGCTTGCCCCTTCTTGCACCAGAGCTCTTCACGTCGGCCTTCCTCTTGCATCCAGTCGCGGCCGCCTCCTTCGCCGCCCTGAGTATTTTGGTGTCGGGAGTCTGCGCAGCCGCCACCACCGGTTTCACGTCATCGGGAGGTGGTGTAGCCTCCTCCGTCTTGGATTTCGTGGCGGTGGGAGGTGGGGCGGCCATGGATTTGTTGGCGGCGGCGGCAGCCGGTGGCGCCCGCGGGCTCCGGTACACCTTACACAGAACAAGCTCGTCGGAGGAGGCGTTCTGCTGGGCGTATTTGAGGCCGATCTCGACCATGATCCACCCCGACCGCACCCGCCGGGGGCCCTCCTTGTTGACGAACGAGAAGAACTGGCGCCGCCCTATCGGGCGGGGGCTGCGGATGCCTCCGACGACGTCCTTGGCGCCGGCCTCGGAGTGCCAGCACCCGCCGTCGCCCACGGCCCGCGCCCTCCTCTGCCCGCCGGTGCTCTTGGACCGCACGGTGGTGAAGAAGTACCACGCCCTGGACCCGTCGCTGGCGACGGCCGGGGAGTACTTGCCGGTGAGGTCGTCGGGATCGGCGGCGTACACGTCGGCCTCGTGGACGTACCGCCACGGGTTCCCGCCGGAGTCGACGTGGCGGCGTAGGTATTTGGTGACGAGCTCTTGGTCGGTGGGGTGGGAGCCGAAGTCGGCGGCGGGGTCCGCCTCGTCGGGGCGGGAGGGGGACATGGCGGAGCGGCGGCGGCGGCCGATTTGGGATCGAAGGAGCGGGAGGAGATGCGATGGAGGGAAGGGGAGAGGAGAGGGGAGGAGACGCCGCGTCGGGGTAAGAATGGTGAAAGACTCCGGGCGGGGGATGGCCGCGTTTATATGGGGCGCGGTCACGCGTAGAAATCCCGAGTCCGAGTTGGGCTCGGCTCGTAAACGGAGCCGAGACGTACTAATTACGCAAGCGCTGGCTGGGAGACGACGAAGCGGCGTCAGTTTCGGAGTGCGAATTGGAGTCGGAGTCGGAGTCCGTGCCGGGATTGGTGTCTCTGATGGGCTGGGCCGACCGTTCTAGAAGTAAGATGTGCTGGGCCTCCAGAAGTACTCTGAGATTGGTATCTCCAGAAGTAGAATAACCAGTAGTATAGAATTTTCCTAATTTTCTAGCATATGGAATCTACCAACCAAATTTTCTGGAGGTCCCAATTGACAAATTTACTAATGGACTTAAAAAAAAGTATGCGCCAGTAGCGTCAATACGGCCTATTACTAGCAATCTCGATGAATTTAGCTTTTCCATGAGTTTTTTCTAGAGCTTTTGAATCCTTGGATTGGAAAAAAGTATTTTTTTTCCATTACGTTTTGGCTCCTCCATTCCATACTATAAAATTCCTTCATCTTTAGTCTAGATTCACTAATATAAATACGAATTTGGACACATATACAAAGTAAGTGTGTGTGTATATATATATATGAATCTATTTACCCAAAACATCTTATAATGTGAAAGGTACGCGATGTATCTGACTGAATTGGTTGGGAGCACTTTTTGATTTCCTTTTCTAGTTTTGGCTTGTGAATCAGGTGAGTTATATGGCACGACTCCTTTCTATTATTAGCGCTGGCTCATAAAAGTTTATTTTTTAATAATGGAAATGAATTATATCTCTGGCTTCTGTCATAAGACACACAGCCATAAGTTTAATAGTAATAAAAATGTAAGATAAAAGTAAATCAAAATGAGAAATAAGGTGATGGGACAAATCCTCAACTCCCCTTTATTATTGACTAGCGTTAAATCACATAAAATATTTTAGCTAGCAATTCTTATAGAACTACGCCACCCATAGTGGAATAAGAGACCATTGGCTACCGATTCCAAAAGTGTAGCACCATTGCGTATAGTATCCTGCTCCTCCTGTGGTAGCATTGTAGACTAGAAGTGGAGCCAGTAGGAAGACATGAAGATAACCTGCATAGGGTTAGATAATTGTTTACCATTAAAAACTTTATCATTGCGACAACGTCAAATTGACCAATATACAGCGCTAGCTCCAATTAGAATCATCTTACTAATGGATCTAGATACCCTCTAAGCCAATTACCGAAAATGTTTTTGGCGTTACGGGGTGGGGGGATATTAAAAGCAAAAACACACATCTCCAAACAAACTGAGCGACATGACGCTCAAAGAAAAGATGTTGGATTGTCTCTTGTGCATAGCAGAAAGAACAATGTTTGCCCCCCCATTTTCTTTTAGCCAGGTTATCTTTCGTTAGAATTACTTTCCTGTGAAGAAACCACATAAAGACCTTGATCTTTAGTGGAATTTTCAAGTCCCACAGAATTCTCTTTTTGATCCGAACATTACAATTCATGATCGCAGCATACATAGATTTGACGGAAAATTGACCATTTTTATGGAGCGACTATACAAAACAGTCCTTTTCATTTGATAGACTTATATTAGCTAGCCTGAGGATCAAATCGTTCCACTCGATTAGCTTTTGGCCAACAATAGCTCTTCTAAAAGAGATATTTAGCAGCGTTGTGCTCATGACCTCTGCCACAGTAGACTGCTTCTTTCGAGCCACATTATATAATGTAGGGTATTGATCTTTGAAAGCACGCGATCCCAACCACGTGTCTTCCCAAAATCTTATGTTTGTCCCATTGCCACATCTAAAAGAACCAAACCTAAGAAATTGCTCTTTGACTTTCATTAAACCGGCCCAGAGCTGAGAAATACCTAATACCTATCTTGCTGGACATACCATAAAGAGGTTTACCACGTGTCGGCCCAGAATTTCTTGCTGGACAGAAATACCTATCTTGCTCGTAAAAAATTATACACGGAATATTTTTACATGTATAAAGTTTCTACGCGTACAGTTAAAATATTTTTCCCCAATGTTACTTGCTGGGCTCGAAAATGATTGAGGTTGACTTCAAACGGTCCAAAATGAAGGCATATAAACACCGACAGAACTAATTTGTCCCTCTGTCAAAAAAAAAAAAAAGCTAACATCTAGCTACAAATCTGTACATATAGCCAGATGTTGTTCTTTTATAGGATAGAGGAAGTAGTTGGCACTCATCTTAGGATGACGGTACCCATGTCCGTATCGCGTATGTCTCTTTTTCATGTACGTTTTTTCTCTCTCGATTTTCCTCTCTTTTTTTTCGCGCGCGTCACCAGTTTCCGGGAGCATTTTGGCCTAACTAACTAAATTAGTTTTAGATAATGATGGTAATTAAGTTAAGAATTCTCTTTTCTTGTAAGATTCTTTTTTACTGACATATTGAAAACTTCCATGTTAGATTTAAAAACTTTCGACTTAAGATTTAAACTTTGAAATAAAATTTTGAAAACTTTCAACTCAAACATTGAAAATTTTCAACTCGAATTTTAAAATTTGTAAGACAAATTTTAAAAACTTTCAACTTAGGTTTGAAAAAATTTAACTCGATATTTGAAAAACTTTCAACTCGAGATTTGAAAACTTTAAAGTTGAGATTGAAAACTTTCAAGTCCAGATGTGAAAATTTTTAAGTTAAGATTTGAAAACTTTCTAGTCAAGATTTAAAAACTTTCAACTCAAAACATTTGAAGACACGTGTGCTGAAGATTAAAAAAAATCAGAAAAAAGCAAAAAAGGAAATCGAAAAAAATTGCAAAAAAAAAAGAAAAAGCGAAAAAATTGCGCGGGGGAGGTGGTGCCAGGTGGCGCACGCGCCAATTAGCCACCACGCTGCGCACATGTTAACAAGGCAGAAGGGGAAAACAGGCTGCAAACATCTTAACAAGGGGGAAGGGGAAACGGCCAGCACATGAGCTGATCCATTGGACTTCTTAAACTATTGGTCAAATCTAATTCCTATCCTTCAACCATTAAAGCCATGTAAAATGACTCCTTTCACTGTGTTTGAGAGTGGTTTTCACTGACATGGTATCCATGTAGCAGCGTAATCATCAACGAAATTAAAAAAAAACACATGGAGGCCACGTGTAAGTGACAGGAAATAAATGCAGTCACATCCTTGCCTGTGCATTCACCCGTGTGCGGCTCTGTGTGTGTAGGGAGGTAGTGGTGGTGGTGGCCGGCGAGTCTCGTGCAAGCTCTCGCTTAGCCACCCGTTCTAGTTGGCATGGCTGGTTTCACAACTCTGGGGTGGCTGCGCTAACGTTGACAGTGGCCGCCGAGGACGAGGCGTGACAGGAGGCCGTGTACGATTTGCGCTCACTATTATTCTCGCCGAGTGAATGGTTCATCTGCAATGAGGCCGACTCGCACACCCATTGCTTCGTTATCCAATGCTCCGACTCACTCGTCTCGTGGCAAGCCAACCTCGTCTTTGAGCCCACCATATTCGAGATATTCTTCTTCTCGAGCTCTTGAACATATTAAGAAGAAGAAGAAGAAGAAGAAGAAAAAGAAGAAGAAGAAGAAGAAGAAGAAGAAGAAGAAGAAGAAGAAGAAGAAGAAGAGAGAGAGAGAGAGAGAAGAAGAAGACGAAGAAGAAGAAGAAGAAGAAGAAGAGCTTAAACTGAACGAATACATATGGTGAAGTAGAGCTCATTTTGCGGCGTCTCCATCTATGAGCCCCTCAGGATACAAGGGTGCTGGTGCGCAGGGACATCTACGAGGCTGCAAAGGGCATCAATGAGAAGTTGATGCCAGGGATTGTGGTGTACCTAGCGGTGCACGATGAGTGTGTGCGGTTGCGGCTGACCGGTGTTGACGTAAAACATGAGGCTTGGGAGATCTGCTTAACTCCAGTGCAGGTCTAAAGCTCGCCTTCGGGTGTGTTAACGTGCCAGTTAATTTGATCCTGCAATCAACAAAAAATAGAAACAAAGAGATCGCAGTTAAATATATAAATGATAGCCGATCGGCTAAGTGCCGATGACATATCATTTATCTTTGAGCCGATGTCATATGTGAATCGATCGGCGACTATAAATAGATAATAAAGAACTAAACCTACTCAATCGGCTGTAGATATTACCAATATATAGTTCTTATATCGATATATATTTAAATCAAGTGATTGGGATAGATCGGTCGCCGTGCCGAGACAGTATAAATCACTTGGATCGAAATATATATTAATAACAGGACTATATATGTTTATAGCATAGCCGATCATATAGATCGAGCATGTATCGGCTAATACTCCGATACTACTATATATCAGGATATTAAAACAAGTATAATATATCAAACAAAAGCTTAATATACTTAAATGCAATAAGATCTTGACATAAATGGCGGATTTAACATGTCACTGAAGCATATAGAGCGAATATGGTTAAATCAGATAAGATCGGCTGAAACTCCGATACTACCCTAATCGGCAACCAGAAGGCAGGCTAGAGATTGATATTCTAAGCACGACTTAATAGATCAAACTCAACTGATGCAGCATTAAGTATGAAAGGAAGAACAATATCTAGACAATCAAGCCGCTGGAAGTTTCATAGAGTGGTGGATATCTTATATAATCTAAATCAACATCAAAATCTAACCTAATCGGCTGCCCTCTACTAACATATGTTAGCCGATTGTAGGTTAGATAGTGATATTGCCAGAGATTATGTACGATATATGATAACTCGACGAATTACGTAAACAAGATTAGAGTATCATAAAGATGGAAGCACTAATCCCGATAACACAAGCCATCATAACAAGTTTTACCTCTTGTTGAAGATCGAAACTGATGCAGCTCAACCCGAAAGCAAGAACTCGTCGAAATAAAACTAAAGCAAAAAGGTGGCGATGCGCTGAAATTGTATTGAACGTGTGTGTGTTTAATTACATAGGGCTCGGGGTCTATTTATACCCGAGAATTATAAGA